GTGTGTGTGTGTGTGTGTGTGTGTGTGTGTGTGTGAGTGAGAGAGAGAGCATGCCAGTTCTGAAGATCTGAAGATGAAGATATCAACGTCTTTGTGCCTGTGTGTGTTTTAGAGAATGTCAGCATGTGTGTGTTCCCCCTGTCCTCCCAAACCAAACACAGTTAACAGTAGCATTCTGTCATAACACACTGCCATTCTGCAGAGGCTGCTGCTCATTCCAAACAGGCAGCGAGGAGGAGGAGGATGGAAGAATGCTGCTGAAACAGGGAGAGGTAGAGGAAACAGCAACGTGAAGGTGAATGAACGAGAACAGGTAGAGAAAAGGTAGGAGGGAGACGCTCGCTGTTGTGTAAAAACAAGGTAATGTTCATGAAAAAAAGACGGTGCCAACAGRAACTTTAACACGAGCTGAGCAGACGGTTTTCTTACTGCATGTTTGCGAGTGCATTCATTCACGTGTGTCTTTAAAAAGCAGCTGCAAACATTGTTTTTATTCAGACAAGTTTTCACTCAATACTTTTTCTTGCATAATTATGTTTGTAATTTGGACATTTTCTGTAATTTTTTTAATGTAATTTTCTTTTTCTTTATTTTATTTTATTGTGACGTGCTTTGAAATATTGTTTTTTTTTTTCACTGAAAAGTGGTACATAAATAAACTTTACTTTACTGCCTACATGATTTTAGTGGGTGTCAAACCRCAGGAGCTGCAGTTTTCATTTCAATTCAACAACGTCCACTCAAAGAAAGAAAGCTTTCACAGTCGCACATGCAAACACAAACATTTAAACATATAGTTATGCTCTCATTTTCCATTTCTAAAAATAGGGTTGGCRTTTAAAAGTCTAATTAAAAGCTTAGAGGACAGGCATGTCAAAATACAGCAACAAAATAAAGAAAGGTGTTCCAGATTTGTTGCTTTATCCCATTTTCAACTGCATGTTTTCTAAATAAATATAATAGAAGGGGGTCATCCACTCTTTAACACCTTCTGAGCTGGATTGTTTTGCTGACAACACAAGYGTGTTTCAGTCATTGAGCTCTCAGGTCATTTATGTTTTGTGTTCTCAGTTTAGATTTTAGTGGATGTTGCTCAGATAAATCTGTAGTTAGATTCATGAAAACACTTTAAATTACAGATTTAAGACCTGCCACTGTCTCTAAGCATGAAACAACCCCACCCCCTGGCAAAAATGATAAAACTGGACTTATCTTTACTTAAAAGAATTGTATGATTTTCTCCATCCACCTCTCTGAGAAGGACTTCTCTGCAGACTCCTGTTTTAAAATAAATCACAACTTCCAAGGCTGGAAAAGTTGTGTCTATATTATTTTAAATACAGTATAAAAAGTTGTTGAAGATTTCTGATTAAACCAAAATTTTATYACTGATCTGAATCCAAATAAGAATATGATTCAGATTGGAAGCACGAGCCACCAGTAGATTACCTGTGGGATTATCGGATTATTGTTTCTTAGGATCAGTCTTTTATTTTAAATAAAATTCTAAATTTCAATGTTAAATTGACCTCAGTGATCAAACATAAAAAAATGTACCCAATAGTTGAACAATGTTTAATAACAAACATGGAAAATGAATCAAATTGCAAGAATATTTGTTTACATAATGACATTTGGTTTTCTTTTTTTAGAGTTACGTTACATTCTTACAAAATTTTGATTTTCTTTTTTTCCTGAAGGGACTTATTACAGATAATTGTGCACTTTTCTGTGCAACGAATTCATGCTTTGAAAAGATACATGTTTTGCTTTTATAAGCTGCTGAAATCTTACATTTTTTCCTTTTTTTCCTCTCCTCACAAGTCAAACATTTGAATCCACTAAACTGACTTGTTTTTAAACAATTTGCAACTTATATGTGAGAAAGCTCCACCTAATCATTATTTTAACTTTAAGGTTTTAAATAAACAAAATTAGCTGTTTGCTTTAAGGTTATTATTTTTAAATTACTTTAAATGAGAATAAAACTATAAAAAAGTAAAAACCAATTTTTTTTCTTCTCATAAAGCCTTTAATTCTGGTAACCCTAAATTGTAAAATGACAGAACAACTGTCTTAAAGTCTTTTTTTATTTACTAAACCGACAACCAACTCTGAAATTACAGAAGAGCTTTTGAAACATTTTTAGATAGTTTTGAATCAAGAAAAATACAATTTTGCATATTTGAATTAAAAACGCTGAATATATTGTAATTTTAGTCATTATTTATAGAAAAAAATTTTTTCTAACAGAACATATTTTGTGCAAATAAATTTGTCAGATTTGCTCCTGTGTGACTGTGGGAGGTAAATTTTTTGGTCTTTTGTCTCCCGTCTTACCCAACCTCTGTGGTGCTCTGGTGAATTATAGGGCCAACAGTGCTATCTAATAACAGGGTGCACAATGAGATGCAGTCCAAACCGTTTTGCAGAAGGACACCTGATACCTAAACTCRTCCTTTCATTGTCATTCAAGATGCATAGCTCTAATTAGCTGTAAATATGGGTCATTTTTCTCCACTAAGTTCTGCGCGCACCTATTTATTATTTAAATTGAGAATAAATCTCAGAAGTTTTCATCAAAGACATATAAAAAACTCTCAATATTAGATTCTTTTATTGATTAAAGCACAACCTAACATACAAGTCAACCTTTTATTATTATTTTTCTGGTCGGTTCGGACTTGGCAGCAGTTATTGGTGGACATTTTTCTCTGTCAGGCAGCAGGAGTCGGTACAGCAGAGCCAGCTGCCGAAGCTCACAGGCTGGCCTCTAATTAAAACAGTGGAAAATGAGATAACTCCACAGATCCATCATGGCCGCTGTTGGCTGTCAGAGCGCTCGGGGGCTGCCACCCACCGTATGTTTACACCAGGGCCACTCGGCTTTTCTGCTCTCGGGGTGTTTTTAGAGTCCCGGCCTGATTTCTCTAATGGGCCGAGAGTTTTTTCTTCTTCTTCTTCTTTTAATTTTTTTTACAAACCTCCTTCCAAACTCACTTTGCTGCAAACCTTTCACCCCTCCCACCTTTCCTTCAAGTGTTCCTGAAGGGGTTGACAGAGACTTGAGGTGGCAGGACACCCTGACCCCCCCACCCCCCACCACCCATTCCTTTTCTCACATATTTCCCACCCACTCTGCCTTGTTAGCCCTTCATTTATTAGGCCCTAATGGAACCTGGGAGTGCTGTGATGTCATGCTTTGGTGCACGGAGAGGACAATTTTTTTCTTCTCTGTTTTTATTTCTGTATCCCTTAGCTGTGCCTCAAACCTTTTCCATTTTGCCCTTGTCTATAGTTTTTCTTCACATTTCCACATGTTTGTCTTGAACTCCTGTGTCTAAGTCTCCAGTTCAACATTCGTTTGGTCTAAACTGAGCAAGGTCAGACTCGAAGATCTATTGCAAGGTCGTGTGGAGGAT